CGGGTCATAATTAATTGTACCAAAAAATTTCGGGTACAGGTTCTTTTAGATTCAACTGTACTTAAAATTTTTTTTTCTCTAAAATCTACAAAAAAATAACCTATAAAATAAAAAATATTTGAATCAAAAACAATACAAAACATTTAAAATAGCAAATCTAAAATTTAAACTAGTTAAAAATGTGACAAAAGGTACCTAAGCCTGGATATACGGGTATTCGGGTCAGGTACAGGTTCTGTCGGATCTAGAAATTTTATAAATTTGATTTATCAATCTATTAATTTGTTTAACTAATTACTTTTTCAAAAATTCTGCATATTCAACATATTCAGCAGTTACCATTTAAGTTTAATATTATTCAGCAAATTCCGCAAAAGATCACTAAAAATTCAGCAAATTCTGCAATTCAGCAGAAATTCAGCAAAAATTATGCGGCGACCATTTACACCCTAAAAAATACGATTGGGGGATCATTTATTTTATTAAGGCCTTTGACGTTGTAGATTTTAGAAATGTTCAGTTTAGTTCCGGTTATTTCAGTAATCTAAAGTTTTGATGATCCTTATTAAAATCCTCTTCGGTTCGGTTTGATTAAACGGTTTAATTTTAAATTCAATTCGATTTTGGATAACAGAAAACACCACAATGTTTGACCCAAAAAAAGAACACAATGGTATAAACCTTCAACACATTGGTACACAAAATAGACAAACTCTACACAATGAACATTACACAAGCTTTAAACTGTGTTCATACACACAAACTTGATCACATGATCTTGTCGAAATTTCGATCAGAAGCTTGCACCATTTTCATCTTCTTTCGATGTCTGATTTCGATCTCCTAAATAACCAAACCACTCTTCCAATGTCCCATTTGAGTCTCCATAATACTAATCTCAGTCTCATCACCATCACCACAACCTTCACCATTGTCGATATAAACCTTCCCAAGCTGGACTTCACTCCACCCATCTCCTCTCTCCTTTGGATCCTCCTCTATTCTGGAAATTGCAAACACTATACTATCTCATCATGATAAAACACTCATGTATAAATGTCTCAGGATTGTGGAATTTACTTCTTGACAACTATGTTGAGAGGATTTCATGTCGAACGGTATTAATACTCACTTATTAAAGTTTGAAAGCATAGGAACATTTGACCAGAATCTGTTATAGCTAATTTTCTTCTTGTAATTCTCTCATATCAATTGATGTCTTTAGAAAGCTTGGGATGTAATTGTTGCTCCAGTAAGCAAGGGGAGAAAGCGTAAAGAAGTAGTCCCTTTGAGTGATTATGAGAATTCTACAACGAAGAAAAAAAATGATAAACATCCCATTGGAGATAGCCGATTTGGAGCATGTTTCTATTTTTAATATAATGGAATATGTTACATTTTTCTCATTTGGTTGCCTTTTGTTTATTGTAGGACGATGGTAATGAAATGGTAAACAATACGGTTTTGGTCATGTTGAAGACGTTATACTTACTTTTTTCACTGAGAAATTTGCTATGGTTCTAACTTGCATTCCTCAACTTTTTTTTATCATGAATAAATTTTAACTTCATTCATAATATTTCTCATATATCCCACAGGAATGTGTGAAATAAAATACTTTTTTTTTATCCCATATAACTCATAATTTTTTTGTGGAATTCACGTGAATGACTAATTCCATTCATAAAAATAACATTCCAGTTGCAGTCTATATATTAGAGAATGTGATGGATAAGGTGCAAAAAAAAAAAATGTACCCTAAAACCCAAAAGAAGCCCGCTAATGAAGAAGTCACAAGTATAGCTCGGTTAGTATATTTCTGTGATTTCGTTTGGTTTACTTGATTAGAGCAATTGTATAAACATCGTGACCAAAAAAAAGCAAGCAATTGAAACCACGGACTCTCATTATAGACTCTAAAACCCTAAATCCTCAAATTATAGACTCTCATTTTCATTTCATTTTTTATTAGTGCAGTTACGTATAAAAAAGAGCCCTAAATCCTCAAAGCGAAAGTTACACAGA